GCTTTATAATTGAGAGATTGAGGGATCAAATTCTCCCTTGGCTCCTTGACCCCCTTTGATTAGATTTGATTGTTGGTGTCGGCGTCGCAGCTCATACCATCAGTTGTGGTGGCCTCCCTATCAGTGACAAAGCTTCGATGGTCAGCACAGTGACTCCAATGACTGATGATGATGATATTTAAAAAAACAAAAGTGATAGGCGCATTTATGACATTTCAGCAAAAAATTTAATTATGTAAAGGGCCCTTGGGCCTGCAAAAATATTTCAAATTCCTTTGGGCCCCTCCATGCAAAGAAACTATCCCTGAGGGCCATATATGAGATTCTCATTTGTTAAATTTATTTTCAATATTTAATTATCATTATAGATATTTATGTACTTTTTTACATTATTAATAAAGAGGTCTTAAAAAAAATTAATTTAATTCATGTTTTAAGTATCAAACTTTAAAAATTTTTAAATTTGAGTCTTAATTTCGTAACTTTATTGTGATAAATTTATAACTTATATTCTAAATTTTAATAGAAAAAATAAATTTATTTATTTTTCAATCATGTAAAAATTTAAAAAATAAATTTTAAATTCATCGCAATAAAGTTATAAAATTGAAAGAAAAGTTTGAAAATTTTAAAAGTTTAATACTTGAAACCTAAGTTAAATTAATTGATCATTTTAAGACCTCTCTATTATTTTTTCTTATTAATATTCTTGTTGCAATCCTAGTCGGTAATTCAAAAATAATATATATAATTATAAAAATAATCATAAATTATTATGCATATGATCACGAAAAAAATTATCATTTACCTCGTCATTTAAAGTATAAAACCCATGTTGTTATATGTTCACAGGAATAGTTCTATAAAGAACAAGAGAGGTAGAGATGAAGATAGAAGTCGTACATCACGGCGCCTTTAAAAGCATGGGCAATATTTTCTTTTAAATTTAATTCGCTCCCACATATTTCATTCTTCTCGTGCAAATTGGGTTACTGATGAATTTACTTCATGATTCAATAAAGATCTTCAGTATTGCCCTTCCAAGACCTAAGCCATGATAACAATAGTTTTTATAAAGTAATAATTTGATTTTGTCTTTGATGTGCTTAAAGATATCAAATGAGTTTTAATATATAGATATATAAAATAAGTGATAATGAGGAGTATTTATAAATACTAAAATGATACTTTTTAAGTAATAAAACTCTATTTACAAATTATAACTTGCATCAATTCACAACCTTATGTTTGTTTATCAACAAACTCATGTTCCATTTCATGAAAAGAAAACATAAAATTTTTAATATATATTTTCTCTCACTAAGTAATACTTTATAATTTTATAACTTTCTAAATATGTATTTAGAATTTAAAGAGACATGATTTTAATGATTATAACTTTCTGTGTAACCCTTCATAAATATTTCTTAATACATAAGAAAGTAATTCCTTAATTTAGAAAGGCGTGACTTTTCAAAATAATATAACTTTTTAAAAAGACATCTTTTTATTTTAAAAATATTTCAACATTATATTTATTTGCAGAAAAAATTAAATACAATAGGCATAATACATTGTTTATAATTATGCATCATCTAATATAGCAATATGAAATTATTGGTCTTAATTCTTTTGTTAATAATATATCTCAAAGATTTTATTGAATTAAGGGGCAAAAATGTTTTAAAAGTGGAGTAATATTATCATTTTTCAGTATTTGACTACTCTCTCTGTCCTTATATAGAAGAAGCCTTTTAAATTTTTTTTTTGTCCCTATATATAAGAAGTTGCTAATATATTTTTTAAGGAATAGACCATTATATTCTTATTAAATTGAAAAAAGAAGTACTTTCATTAATTTACTTTTAAAAAATATATTTATTTTTTATTTATAATAATTAATAATAAAATTAAAATATTTTTTATTTTTAATTAGATAATGATTGGAAGCCAAAAGAGGGTTGAAAACCACGATACGCAAGCCACGTGGCATCAAACACCCTTCTTGCCTTCTTGCTTGCCTTCTCCAACAGGACAAAAATTTGGGTTTGACGAGATAGAAAAAATAAACAAGAAAAGAATCAGAAAACAAAACAGGCGACAAAGATGGCAGAAACCAGAAGGAAGATTGCAGAAGAAGGATGAATTGCTTTAGTACTCACACTCAAGCGTTTCCAACGGGGAGGGAGAAGATGACCATAAAAACCGGCAACAACGTTGTTTTAAAAAAACGCGACAATCAACAACATAAACAGAAAATCCAATAAGAAGAAGCCAATATATCCAGATTCCCTAGAATCATGAGTTAGTCATTCAAGAAAAAGGCAGGTAAGTTTTGGATTTTCTCCAGTCTGCTCAGATTCATATGAATCCAAGGATTTCTTCTGAAGAATCATGCGAACCATTGTCATCGACGTCTCCCTCATGGTTCTCAATGATTTTTCTTGCTCGGTGAAAGAATATGGATAAAATTAAAGTAGCAAAGATAAAAATATTATGATAGATATGCGGATATATATGTAAGGATAAAATTTAAAATGTATTAAAAAAGTAAAGGTAGCATTTATTGAAAAAAAAATAAAAAATTATTTAAGATGGTTTGAGCATATATAAAAAAAAATTGTGAGAGGTATCAATAAAAAAAATAAAATATATAACTTTAAACTCTATTAAGAGGGGTAAAGGAAAGCTTAAGAGAAATTTTTTGAAAGTTATTAAATGTGATTTCTTAATTAATAATATTTTTAAAATTAAAGCTTGATAAATGATAGAGTACAATGACGTTTTGCAATTCATGTAAGTTGTAACCGATCTCATCTAATAAGATAAATATTTGTTGTTGTTGTTGTGGTGGTGGTGAATAAAAGAATATGGATAGGACGAACTCTCTAAGAGGGGTCTATCACCACAAGGACAAATTGATCAGGGAGGAGGCTTGGATGGCGTCGAGTAGGAGGAGGTCATACAAAAATATGGAGGAAGAAGGTTGGGCAGAGAGGCAGAAGAATGAAGGGTACAGAGAAAAGGAAGAAGATGATGTCGCCGGTGAGAGAATGGCAAGAGAGAGAGGAAGCAAGAAGAGAATGGCCAATCCACTTGGAGTCCTACACATTTACTGTGAAAGACTCGTCGGCTGCGCATCGATCCGTTAGTTAAATGCTAGTCAGGAGTTGAAAAATAAAAGGAAACATTACTTTACTTCTAGCGCTTCCGGAGCACATTACTCCTCCTAAAAAATGAGTTTTTGGAGTATTTTTGTCCATTAATTTTTTATTATTTATTACTAGTTTACAACGTTATAATAAGGCTTGACTTCCATATAGGATTGAAGTTTTATTACATTAATTAACGTTAATTGCTTTTACACACAAAGCCGCACACCCAGAGAGAAAGAGAGAAGGGAAATTCAAATTTCAAATTAAATCTTCATGTACGGTATGCTTATTGTGCAATGCAGATGTTTTTAATCTTTTAATAAAATTATTTAAGTATTCTAGCACCGCATGGAGATTGGGTTGTGGATTTATTTTTAAAACGAGCGAACATTGTTTGGTCAGCTTAGGAAAAGTAAGAAGGAGAGGCGCTCATCACTGCATGCTCATCATTGTAATGAGATTTAAAACATCAAAAGGTTCAAATTTAAAGTGATTTTATATATTTTTATTTTATATTTATTAAAATAAAAATTATAAAATAATTTTAATAAATTTTTTATAAATCATTATTTTAACAAAAATAAAATAAAATAATATTTTAAATTTGAATCATTAAGATCAAAATCTAAATAATCTAGATCTTATTACACTAATAAGCACCAAAGTCAGGTACCAAGGAGAGGGGAAGAGGGGAAGCTCGATAGCACCTTGAAGCGACCAAAATGGAAAACTTGAATCATATATTGGTGTCAATTATATTTTTTAATCTTTTGGGGGGTTTTCAGATCAGAAGAGCTAAGGAAATTCAGGAGTCAGAATAAATGAACAACAACAATGTAAGTTATATTTGTTGTTGTGAAAAAGAATAAAAATGCAAATAGGAAAAATAATTATTCATTAAAAATATTTATATTCTGGCTTTTTTTAAATAAAACATTATTGTGTATTGCATTTGCAGGATTGAATACCACACAAGCACTATCCCAAATGTCAACAGAGCTCGTGCTGATATCAGGATGAGGAAGAGATCACAAAATCTTTTCCTTTTTATATTTTTCTAATCCTTTCAAAAATGTTGGACAGTGATGTTTCTGACGTTTTTCAATCAATGGGTGTGAAACCAAAACCATTGGGAATCTACTCATTTTTATTTATTACATCCTCCAATGATCTGGAGAAAAGGTTTAATTCCTAAAAAATATTTCACAGAGCAGATGAAACCTTGTATTCTCTGGAAAAAGCTCCATGCACGTGGGCGTGTTAGCGTACTCGGCACTCGCCTGTCTGCTAACGGGCGTCCTGCTTCAGTCCTTTAAAATTGCCCTATTCATGCTCTTAACTCCCATTATCAGCATATATATCCTTTCCTGTTTTTTCAAGTCGTGACATGCCCAGAGAAATATTTATTAAGCACAATCTGAATAACATGAAATGCTTCAGAGGGAATGAAGTAGAGAGAGATCCAAATTCTAGTAAGCACCGCATGAAGCCTGCAGCTAGCTTATGTCAAGACTCAAGCGTCATGCACTTACCCCAGACTGGTCACTCTCTCACGCATTCTCCCCCATTCTCCCTCCCTCCCTCCCTCTCTCTCTCTCTTTAAAATATTGCCCGCATGGTTTCTTCTACTAAATAACATGTAAAAAAAAACAAGAGAAGTTGCTTTAAGAAATTAAATTTCATTTCGATGCCATGGTGGAGCTACACAGTAACTCGCAAAGGAAATCAAAATGTTGACGGCGCCCTGTGAAGAAGTACAAGAAGAAGCCAATCGACGGAGGAATAAGAGAGCGGTAACGATGTGGGCCCCACAAGCGGGCATAAATATTCACCCAATGCGTTGTTGAGAGTAGTACAGTGGACAGGCTAATTCGTGGGATAACCTCATTGTGTCGACATGGTCTGCGAGCAAGAGATGTTGGTTGACAAAGTCTGCGAGCTGTATGATCAAATTTCGAGGCTAGAGAGCCTGAAGCCCTGCAAAAATGTCGACATGCTTTTTACCCAACTCGTGCTCACATGCATGCCACCCATCCCCATCGATGTCACCAAGCTCAGCTCCCGCGTGCAACAAATTCGATCCAAACTTATAAGAATCTGCGGTGAGGCTGAGGGCCTCTTGGAGAGCCACTACTCCTCCATCCTAGCCTCCCACCACGACCCTCTCCGTCATCTCCACCTCTTCCCCTACCATTCCAATTACCTCAAGCTCAGCCTCCTCGAGTTCAGCATCCTCAGCCAACACTTCCCCCATGTCCCCTCCAAGATTGCCTTCATCGGCTCCGGCCCCCTCCCTCTCACTTCCATCGTCTTGGCCTCCAATCACCTCCCCGCCACCCTTTTTCACAACTACGACCTCGACCCCGTAGCCAATTCCAAGGCCGCGCGCTTGGTTTCTTCTCATCCCGACCTGTCCAAGCGCATGGTGTTCCACACCCGCGATGTCTTGCAGGCTTCCGAGGAGTTGCAGGACTACGAGGTGGTTTACCTGGCGGCTCTCGTGGGGATGGGCAGAGAGGAGAAGACTCGGATCATTGATCATTTGGCCAAGTACATGGCCCCTGACGCGCTTCTGTTGCTGAGGAGTGCTCATGGGGCTCGGGCTTTCCTGTACCCTGTGGTTGACCCTCGCGATCTCGCTGGCTTTGAGGTTCTCTCGGTGTTCCACCCCACCGATGACGTTATCAATTCAATAGTCGTTGCTCGTAAGTGTGCCGTGCCCGTGCCTTCGCAACACCTTGCCTCTGTCATGCTCCTCGACCTCCATGACCTCAACCATGGCGACATGATTGGTGAGGGATTATTGCGCGCTCACGTCGAGGAAGACTGAATCTTCCCCCCTCCCTGTCCCGTCATCTTCTGTTGTCGCCCTACGTGTTTGACTTAACAGTTTCAGTCATGTCTGACTGGTTTGTGTATCATCTATATAGTTATCGCTAGCAATTGCTATGCATATACGTATATGTCCTCGTGATGTTTATGATTTTTCAGACAAATAAAAAGATTGTTACGTGTTCAGATCGTCACCCTCGAGCAAGCCGTAAGGGTACTGGGTAAGAATGAATATGTTGATGGCGTCTGCGCATATAGCTTAGCATTGTTACAGCATCGTGTATTTTTTTCCCGGCCCCGATCGTATTGGTGTTTGTTGCTCTCTTCACTAACAACTAATTTCCCATATATGCGTATTTAACCGCCCGGCCACTGCTCTGACTTATTCTGTTTAATCTGACCATTCAGCCAATAAAGTCGATCATTCCCACTATGGTCGTCGCTGGAACATATAGTCCATTAATTCAAGACGACTTAGTTCGTAAAAAAACAATCGCTCCCCTCTCTCCTTTTATTTTAATTCCACCTCTTGAAGTTGAACCCTTGATCAATGCATGTTGGGTGTCGAATTAGGTTCATATATGGATGGTTAGGCCCGAGGGAGAGGAGGGATACAGATATTGGATTTTGTTGGGATAGTAAAGTATAGATGGCTTCTCCCATTGTTGGGAAAATGGCTATACCTCTTAGGGACTCGTACTTAGGAGTTCAACGGAACCCACGACATGGGAAAAAATAATCACTTGATGCGCATGCGCCCTCCTTTCAATCTTCGGGATGAAGGTTTAAATCTCAATTAATTGGGCTCGTTTCTTTAAAGCAGAGGACTGGAGAGTCCGTGAGCTGCATTATTAATTATTAATATTAATATTGATAGTAAACTTGGGAATCCATTATCCCATTAAAGGGAATGAAATGAACTTCTCTTTTATAATTAACGTGGGTTATACAACAAAATTGTTTTTTAGAGTTTATGCAATTTTTCAAAATGTATGTTGCTTCATAATTTTAATAAAGCTTCGTTTTACCTTCATTTTTTGGACCGGTACTGTAAAATTAATTAGGTGAAGATCTAGAAATAATGATTTTTTAATGTCGGCATTTAAGTCAAATGTTCAATTTTGTCAGAGTCTAGACTACGTACATATGTACAAAATTAGAAAGAAAGTATAATTATTTTGGGATAAGGGGGTATAAGAGTGTGAGTGTGGTGTGTGTGTAAACTGTATTTGCCAATCCTGAGAGGGATTCTCTCTTGATACAGCATAAGTGTACTAGATAGATTTTAAATTTGCGGAGATTTGAATGCAACCACGTTATTCAGTGTTACATGAGAATTGAAGATTAATTTTTCAATATAACAATATATCACCGATTAAAACAGGAAAATTGCGTTCGATGCATGGCGTGAGACGGAGCACTGTGGGCAATAATGATACGCAGAGATAAATTATTTTTGTAGAATGATCACGAGAGGTGAATCACTTGAGTTGCAAGCACATGAATGAAACATTTCTTTCAATACAGACGTCATGCCACTTATCAACAAGTTATCATCTTATCTTCTCTCTGAAGGAAGCTGTGCGTATGTACACATAGCAGGAGAATTATTCTACTAAACGACAACTACCACCTGTTTAAGTCCGCATCCAATAATCTAACCCATCACAATATTAGATTGACCCACAACACTAGCGACCCATCATTGATTAAGCCTTTTCGTTTTATTGTATACATATCAAGATTGGCCTTGCATTCCCTTCAAATCTAAAACAAAGACAAGTCAGGTCCCATTATACATGACCGTTCCATATAGATTCCAGCCTTTTCACTTGGGGTAAAATATCTAAACTCCGGCATACGGCTGTTCTATCGATTATCGATGTCCACGCAGCAATTGAGCAATTCCGTGTTCTAAATCAACATAAACCCAGGAGTAGCCTTCAAAAGGACATATTTGGATTATTTTTCCTACGATCTTTATCTATTTTTTGAGGCTATATAGTGTCGTGACACAACAATAGCTGCTTTATCAGCCAGTTTTTAAATCGCTACTTCTAAAAGCCAAAGAAAGCTACTTGGCAAACAACTGCCGACCCCAATAATTAATTTTGCAGGGGCACAAACGTAGATAGCACGAGGAGCAAGATTGAGAAAATCATGGCGTTGATGAGGTGCTCTCAACCTACGCGGCCACCACTCACGCCTTCCACTATGAGAGAGATACGCATATCTTCGGATGGCTTCCAATGCCTTTTCCTCTGATTGATGAACCAATTATTGATCTGCTTCTGATCAAGTCCCGTCATTTCTGATAGCTTCAGCTTCTCCTCTTCCTGCCTCATCATTCACAAATCAGGCTCCCTCCATCCAAAATGGCATATATATCAACAAAGTACACAGAGAGAGAGAGAGATAGAGAGACCCATTGGCTCCTCTTACCGTAGGATAAGGCCATCTGTAGTGGGAGTTCCACCATTGAAGGAGAGCTGTCCTCGCATCCTTGGGAAGCTTACTCTTCTTCTTCTTCTTCAACAGCTCCTTCCTCAAACTTCCAAGGTAGCCACTGTACTTGCGAACCAGCATTTCTCTTAGCTCCCGATCACCTGCATCACCTTCGCCTGCTTCTCCATCCCCACAACTTATTCCCTTCCCTGAACTCCCACTTGCCTCATCTGAAATGCATATTGCCCACACTATCAAAATCAGGCCAATCGGATACAAAGACTAAGACATATGAATCACGCTTCTTGAGAAATCAAGAATGACTTGTTACAGAACTGCACATGTCAAGCTGGAATTATTTCTACTTTCTTTCTTCACAACTTTATCGGTTCACCCCATTCCTATACTACATGCATGCGTGCATGTGTACAACAAAACCAGATGACACGCGACTTGACATAAAATTCACGTAAATATGCCAGATCCTAGGCCACAACGCGTGATTTAGGGGTACTTGGTGAGGAATCTGAATTTTAAATCTGGCTCCGTCATGCACGGGAAGGGAAAAATGTCGATAATCTTCAGAGTGGAAGGACGTGTTGTTTGTAAAGCCAAGGATTGAACATATAGTAGAAGAAAATGGTGTTAAAAGTTTGGGTATAATCAGAGTGACGATACAGGGAATACTACTGGCGGGTTTTTTAAATGCCAATTGACCTTTTTGTTCTTATTTTTGATTTTGACGGCTTCATGATCTTCACGGGAACTGAAATGGTCCCCCACAGAAGATATGCAGATTCCACTTTGGTTCTTTCTTTTTCTGGCAAAGATCCTACTTGCTTCTTTCGTCTACGAGAGACAACTTCAGTGGCGAAAAGGCAAAAAATGGTCCCCCCCCCCCTGGCGGCAAATTTCACCTTTACATAACAAACACTGAATAATGAATATTGAACCCAATCAATGTAGTTTGGAAGTTAAAAGGAAATTATAGCTTGCCCTCGTTAATTTTTATGCATTAAATACACACGCCAATATGTAACGGGCTGTTTGGTACTAAATAAGAATGAGAAAGCTTTCTCCCATTACAATTTTTCAAAAAAGCCAATTTCTATCTACCAAACACAACAAAAATGCTTTCTCTTACCTTTCTCACTTTAACTTAAATCCCTTTCCCATGTACTAATCTCTGCCTTGAGAGGTTGAATTCAGAAAGATGTATAGAAGAAATACCATCGTTCTCAATAATCAATATATGTATTACGACGACTTAGCAGCATCAGTAGCTTATTTCTTACGTAGCAGAGAACAGATATATCATAATCACCCAGTAACCGATATGCAAGGGAATGAGTTTTCACTCAAATACACATGCATCATTTAGAAAATAAAAAAATAAAAGTTATAGGGTACATTTCACTAGCCCCTTCTAATATTTCGTTCAAATTATGTTGAATACTCTTTTGAAAAAAAATTAAAAATACACTTAGACTTCCTACAATTTATTTACTTCCAATAAATTTAACTTCCCACTTAATTGATGTGTGTGTGTGTGTGTGTGTGTGTTTCTTCAAAATACAATAATGCTAATCAATTTTCTTTATTTTTACATTAAGAATAAAACTAAAGCTTTATATCACGAAAAAAAAATAACTTCTAAAAAAAAAAAGAAGCTAAAGTTAGACAAGTGAAATTAGAATAGTTTAGTGACAACCAGACGACAAGGAAGCTAATAGCTGTAGCATCTGTTATCTTGGCTTTCTTTCCAATGCTTCTAATAGAGTCCTACCTAGTCATGATATTGGACACTCATAGACATTGCCATTACCAACAGTGCTCACCCAAATCAAAACAATCAAAATATAATTCAAGCATTAAGATGATGCCATTAAATTTTTTAGAGATTAATTTGGCAGATAATAATGGAAAAGTAACTACGACTATAGCAAATACTAGCGTGATCGAAGTATGTATATTCCTTGTATTAGTATATGACCGAGAAATTCGATTAGTTATACACTTAAGTGAAGTCAGTAAAATATGTTACACGACACTTGCACTTTAATTTATATATGAGAATGAGAGAGAAACATCTCATAACAAATGAAAGCAAACAATCGCAAAGATCTGGAAACTTTTACAGACACTATCAAATGGGCCACATTGTCATTAATGTTGAGATAAAAAAATACAATATAGCCTGCATCTCTGACGTACAGGAAGGGCCATTCAGGTTCAGCAAGCAATAGTAACAGCAAAAAAAGAAAAGAAGAAAAGACATTGGATGCTCTTTTTAGAGATGATATAGTGCTGAGAAAAAAGTGGTTAATTACCAGAGAAAGGAGCCGAGGAAATTGTGAATGTTCCGTCGCAAAGATTGCTGAGTTTTGATTGCATAGTGCAGAGAAACAAGGCGGCCTCGTTGAAGGGCTTGGACAGCTCCTCTTTGTATCTGTGCAGGACTCCACAGTATGACTCCTTGCAGCAGCAAGAATTCAAATCTTCACTCAGAAGCAATAACACATATCCTATGAACGACGGCGGCAACAACAGACACATAGTACTATAAATATCAGTGAGTTTGAGTTTGAGTATACCATGAACTTGTCAAGTTCAGGGTCGTCGCCTATCATAGGAGTATTGACGAGGTGCTGTTCCTGCCCTATTTCTTCAAGAAGGGATAATCTTTCTGGGGTGGCTCCGACCTAACACAACAAATACGCTTTTCACGCAGCAAGCAAAATTCATAATGGTGAAGAATGTAACGTTAGCTTTGGGCGCTCGCTGGCGCGCGCGCGCGGAATATTAATCATTAATGAGAGAAGGTTGTGAATTAGTAAGCAATTATGAACCTTTTGGCACTCTATGTAGGCAGAGAGTAAAGTAGGATAAAGAGGATGATTGGCGATCTGGGTCTTGATGAACCGATGCGACCCGATTTCATCCGGGTCGGGCGACTGGAGGCGGAGGCCATGAGCGTCGGACCTGCAGTAATTATCATCCATGTATCCAACAAGTGTAAGAGCTTGGAGTGAAGAGAGAAAAACAAAAGTGGAGAGAAAGATCGGGGAGGAGAGGGATAAGTAGAGAAGAAGAAGCAGAAGAGGGAACAGTGGAAGGAAGGATTGTTAGGAGGAGTTTTACAGAGGGAAGGGAAAGAGAGAGAGGGCTGAAGTGAACAGAAACAGCAGAGGGATTGTGGCGACTTTTCGAAGGAATCGTGGTCGTCCTCATGCCCACCTCCGACTGGTATGTGTACGGCCTCACAGCCACAGTCTAATATTCTTAAACCATTTACTTTACTGGTCCGAATTTCCTTAATCTTTAAGGCCATGCCCATTTTATGAAGGTGCTTCCAACTAGATTCAAATAAGAGTGACTTCTAGTTTATGGTTCAGGTTCCCAATTGAAGCCTTATCTCGTGTGTGTGTTGTGTGTCCATGCCAGCATTTGTGTGTGATTTCGTGTTCTCCATGAAAAAAACATGTTTAGTTGTAATTTTTTAAATTATTTTAATTATTAGCAAACTCAAACTTACAAATGCTTATATTAAACTTATAAATAATGTAAATTTTGTTAGACTTTATTGATAGAAAATTATTATTTTTTAATTTGTTTTAGTTATTAATGAAACAAAACTTACAAATACTTATACCAAATTTATAAATTATATTAAATTAGTTAGATTTTGTCATTGATAGAAAGTTGTGATTTTTTAAATTGTTCTAATCATTTGTAAAACTAAATTTATAAATATTTATATCAAACTTATAAATCATATAAAATTAATTGTATATGGATACTAAAATAATTTCATATAAAAATTTAATATTAAAAAAATATCTCAAAATCTCATTATCATTATCACATCTTATGAAACCTAATTGTCATATTCCTATCTCGTTCTCCCTTTTTAAAATTTCAACAAAATAATAAAAAATAAGTTTGATTTTTTAGAAAAATTAGTTATATCAAAATATAAGTTGAAGTGTACATTTAATCTCATAATTTCATATAAAATTTTAGTTTGGTCTTTTAATTTTATAAAATATTTTTTAATATTTTAATCCTAACACCATTAATTTTATATAATTACTTTTGTGTTAGCCATTGTTATTTTAAAAAATTAAATTTAACATGCTAATATTTAATCATATTTTGTTAATATTTAAAAATTTAGCATAGAAAAGTTTGTTAATGAAACTAATAATATTAAAATTAGATTATTGGAGAGATAGTAAATAAAATAAAGTAATCAAAACAAAAACTTATACAAAATTAAAGAATTAAGAGTACAATTTGACCTAAAATATATAGAGAATATCAATAAAGAATGTAAAAACAATTTAATTTTATAAAAATAATGTTGACAAGTAAATATTAATATTTAACAAGAAAAGATTTTATTTTAATAAATATTTAATTTATTCAGATTTTTTTTTTACATATTAAACTTTTTTAAGAGATTCTTCATTCACATTCTTCATAAAATATAATATGATTGAGTGAAATAGAAGGATGCAAATTTGTCTTGTTAGTCCTTTATAGGAACATGGCCATGACTGACCACGATTGATCTGAGTTCGAGTTCTCGAGTTAACATTAAAGTCAACATTTTATCCCCCGCTCCTAGAGCGACATGTGATGCCAGTTGCCACGTTAATGATTACTGTAAAGTTCATTTAATATTGTCAAGAAAATTAGTGATGTTAACTTTTTACACTTTAAAATGCACGTGGACACTCAAACTAAATCTGAGAGACTCGGGAGGGAAATTCCTGTGATGATTCTCCGAGAAAATGTTTAACCATTTGACAATACACTATTTTATCCGGGAAAACTCAAGTATTTTCATCTTCCTAAACACGTGCATTATAATCTTTGGGTTTCATCAATCAATTAATTCATAATTTTCAAAGATTTCATTTAATGTTTTGCTAATCAATGAATATAATTATAGCAACGAGCCTGATAACGGATAGGTCGTGGTTTTAATATTTGGGGCCTTTGGTGAGATTTTTCCACCTTTAAATGTTTTCACGGGAGTGTATTGTCACTGTCATATACCTTTCACAAAAAAAAAAATATCACTATATTTACTTATATAATAGGTTAAATATTAACGTTAGGGATGATCATGATAATTAACAATTTTTTGTACGCCGTGATGGTTAACAATTTTTTTTCAAAAAAAGCTCTGTTTGATTTTACTGCTATTTGTTCTCAGACGTTACAACCTTTTTTAACAGCAAAAAAAAAAAAAATCTATTATTACTTAGAATTAGGTCAATTTACCTTTTTAAAATTGGAAGATTTTTTTTTGGGGAATAATTAGCCTCGGAGAGCCCTCTAAAGCTTAATCAGGTGACAAAATTGGAGTGGCATACTGATGGAAGCTATGTCTACGAACTCGCTAGACTTTTGATTATATATTATACATATAATAATATTCTTAGAAATAGTTGTTATGTTTAAACAAGCACATTTACTTATTTAGCGTAATGGCTTTGCTTTAAAAGATGATTATGAAGCACAGAATCAACTGAAGTTGATATAATTGGTGATTTGAATTTCAGTTGTTGCGTATTTGCCTTTATAACAATTTAGTTATGTGCCTCTTAGGGAACGTTTAACTTAATAAAAAAGATAGAGGACAGAAAGAGATGGATAAAGAAGCCCAAAAATAGCATGCGTGCCCAATAATAGGAGGAGAGGATATTATTTCCATCCACGGCCTGTGATTGGGTGGGAGATAGCAGAAGGTGGTGGGATCTCAGTTAGGGTTAATAGTAGCGATTCCATAGGAGGAATAGAACAAGAGGGAAGTGATGGAAGCCGATGGAGCCGAAGATATGCATGAATTGAAGGCCATTGCTATAATGATCCGCGAGGGAATGAGCAGAGCTCCAAGAAAGAGGTGAAAGTTGGAATGGGAGCGGTGAGTAACATTTGGCGTGGGAACGACGCAATACAATACTCCCTTCAATCTACTTTATAAATCACATTTAAAAAAAATAAAGTGGTTCATTTTATAAATTATTAAATTAATAATAATATTTTATTTTAAATAAAATACTTAAACTATTTTTAAAAAATATGAGAGAGAAAAATAAAAAAATAATATTATATAATTTATTTATATTTTAAAAGTTATGTTTATAATTTTATAAAATTTTATTATTTATATTTTTATTATATTAATATTGATAAAATTAATAAAAATAATTTATAAATAAAATTAAAGGCAATACAGTATAATAGAATCCAACAATGCAGAAGATGGGTCCAAAGTCCAACCATAAGATAGAAGGAAGAGGGCGCCTGATAAAATAAAGCTGCGACTGCATACAGATCCCCACACTTTGGAATACAATTGGATCGCAGTTCAATCATGCTCCCCTCTTTATTACTCCGTACTGTCTCGACCCCACTCTTTACGTGCATCTCTATCTTGCAAGTAAACTTCAACTTTATCTCTCCATTCCCCAGAAGAATCATGGTTAAGTTTTATAAATTTGAATTAATAACACTTGCGTTCTTCATCAAATGACTTCAAAATATTAATTTCAATAATTATAATTTTGGAAATTTTAATTATAGATAAGACGTTTAACTTTTCGATGTAACTTAAATTGTGACATTAATTCATTATCAGTTTCCATTTAATATCTATCCATGTGAGTTATTAATGCACAGATTCCTGATTCAATCAATATTAGGTGAGGCGCACCTTTCTGAATGATGGAACAGATCACCAGTGTCTGAACAAGAAATTCTCTTCCCGTCTCCTGAATTCATCAGCAAAAGCAAAGCTCAGCTAATGACGCAGCAAAGGAAAAAAAAAAAAAATTTAATGCATATCCACAACAAGACCGTAAAAGGAGATCAAAATTAAGTTATGTCAAAAATTATATAAAGTTTTTACAGTGAGCAGACGGTCTATCTAATAAAATAATATTAAAATGATCGTTTTTAATCTTATAATTTAAAATATCAGTGTAATGATTTGTTTATTTATAGACGTAATTAAAGATGATCTCTCAATTTGTTACGGTGAGATTACTGATGTTCGTGATAATTGCTAAAAGAAAGTGGTTATGAGCGAATTTACTATCAATGAGAGATAGAGTTTTTATAAAATCAGAACAAATATTCACTTTAAAAATCTTAACATTTCAATAAATGTTTAGTCCTTTCAAAATTTCAATAAGCTTAGCTACTGTTGATAATCAAAATTTGTAGCAAATCCCTTAATCCAGGTCCCCTTTTCATCTCTAATAAATCCTCTACAAGCAGCTACACCATTATGATTAACCAAACCATTAATGTCTGATTAAGCCTATCCGAGATTTGGTGGATTCCATCTAGCTTCATGCCCGGTGTTGGTTTTGTTCAAAGGGTCAAGTTTAGATTAAAATTTCATGTCATTGATACTTTAGTGGGTATTCGAGAAAATGATGTCATTGTTCAAATTAGCATTTTCAGAGTAAACTTTCTTACATCTTGCCTTCCAAATATTCCAGCAGGCATAGGCAAAAAGTTTATACCAGGGAAATCTTCGTGGAAATAGGCTTCCTACATCATTTTTAGCATTTTAAATTATTCAATCATGTACAAAAAGAGAAAATAAAATATCATGCTTGGATAGATTTATTAATTTTTTCCAAACCTCCTTAGCATCTTTACAGTCACATAAAATATATGAATAGAAAAGTTATGAGAGTTATAATCAAGGGGGCAAGTACATTGCTAAATGGTACTTCCAGAGTGGCATTGGTTTGAAATTGATCCCAAGTAGTTTTTTAGAGAAAATATTTAATTTTTTTCTTAGGTAGGGCATTTCCAAAATTTGTACCTTATGTCAAAGTATTCTTGAGCTTGCTGAGTCTCTATGGCTTTGTAGGTGAATTTTATAAAGAAATTACCATCACTAGGAGGCCTTCAAGTAATAATATTATTTTCATCATCTCTATTAGAAGGTTGCACTAGAGCAATTTTTTTAATAATATTAGGGTGGAGGTATCTTCGCAAGATATCAAAATTCCAACTACCAATAGGCTTGCAAAAATCTAAAACTCTAGCATGAAGAATAAAATCTACATTATGAAAGGCATGTTTAACAAGAGAGTCAGATAAGGGAGACCATTTTTTATACCAAAAGGATATTTTATCTCCTTTACCTACTTTTCAACCAATGAGAGACATGAATTTATCCCCAATTTTGCATATACTACTCCAAGGATTTGGGTTTGTTACAATTATATTTATCACATAAGACTCATATCCAAAGACAACTCAATTTTGTGATGAGACCCCAATAGAGCTTCATGATGAAGACAATCTTATGGTTTTTGAGCTTTTTAAGGCTAAGATCCCCAACCTTTTTATTAGAAGTAATGCATTTCCAAGAGAAAAGGTGGGGTTTTTTATTCCCATCAAACGAATCCCAAATAAAATTTTTAAAAATTTTATGTAGTTTCGCCAGTACATTATTAGGTAAGAGCATAGTTTGCATAATGTAATTAGAAAAAGTCAAGAGAATAGATTTTATAAGAATTAATTTTTCCATGATGTTGAGATATCAACTTTTTCAATTGGCCAATTGAGAGTTTGTCTTATCAATTAATGGTGCAAATGTTAGCTTAAAAATCTTCTCATGAATAAGAGAAGATTTCTAAAATGTGTTTGTCAAGATATTTGCCAAAGTTAATAGTGAGAGAAATTCTTAAAATGTGTTTGTTTGGAGGTTTTGAAAGAGAAGAAAAGAAAAATGCTCTTTTCCTCGTTTGGTTAAAAAATTTTAGAAGAAAGAAGAGCTAAAATTTCTCCTTTCTTCCCCTCATATTAATCCTCTCTAAATTAAGGCTTTTTGAAAAGAAGTTAAATTTCTTGATCACTTTGCTCTTATACATTTTGTTATATTCCATACTTGTCTATTGATTGAAAATAAAATTAAAAAAAAGACCTTCACTTTACTTTCTAAAATTCTCTCTCTTCAGTGTTCGTTCTCATTCTCGTTGCCGGGAAAAGACGTCTTCCCATTTTGATTAATAACAAAACAATTTATTTATTTTTTATAAAAATATTATTATAATTGGTTTTTTAATTCAAATTGAAAATATGATAGGATGAGGAGACCTAATGATGCAGTTTAAGTCAAGGTGTAAAGTTATTTTATATATGGAGCAATTAAAGTTGTTATTTTCTTTTTCATTTTCTTTCAAACTAAATAAAGAATTATTAAAAACTCTGCCATTTCCCTCCTTCTAATGAAACCAACAAGGTAATATTAAATTTCTCTCCTCCCCTTCCTTCCCTTAAAGCAAACGCACCCTTATAACAGATGTGCGAGTCGCGTCACAAAGCTTAGCCCCGGTGGTTCAAACGCAAGAGACACGGATAGGAAGCTGATTTAATGAAAAAGTTCAGAACCCAGACAAGAAGTCACCACCACAAGGGTCAGTTCTTCGACCCCGTTCATGCACTTATCCACAAATTCTCCACCACTTTGTTTTGGTTTCATCTTTTGTTTAAGAGGCCAAAAAGAAAAGTAAGATCTCTTGTTTATGATATCTACTGGGTAGGCCCCTCCCTCCCTCGCTGTAACGTCACACAACGTTCTCTTTTTAAGTTTTAACCTGCATATCCATCCAACCTTCAACGAGATGTTAGCTTCCAAATTTTTACACTCGTTTTCATATGGGAGTCGGGTTCCTCCACCGCTGACAAGGTGAGAAATCTAGAATATCTAGATTTAAAATAAAAAAATTTAATATTAAACCTGCACTGTTTAAAATGTATTTAAAAAGTCAATTTATAAAAAAATTGCTATTAAATGTGAGCCATTTTTTTTTACAATTTATATAATTTTTTTATTTTCCAAAATGTAAAAAATAAATAAATCTGAACAGTCCAAATTCCACACCTCAACAGAGATGAGGAGGTCTTCCCCAAAGGAGGGAAGCCAACTCCCTTTATATGGGTTGCGTGGAACTTCCATGATATACGTAACGTTTACGCGGATAGAGTTAAAAACAGAGAATCAATCAAGACAGGATTAGAATAGAAGACATTAAATAATTAGAATGTATAAAAAATTTAAAATTATAAAAAAATTAATAAAATATGGATTTGAAAATCTAAATTTTCACAAGTCAAAATGATGAATTTGACATGTATCCAAACCATCATAGTCATTTCATACCTTCTTCCTAATTTTGATCACTTCTATCCTTCTTACTGGGGCTACTAGGAGGGAACTGCAGTAACTGAAGCGCATAGTGGAAGGTCTGAGTATAGACAATAGGTAAGCGGGAATTCTAGAAGTGTGAAAGTTCGAATCCTCTCTGTAGATCTATCAGATTTTTATGCTGGTTGCTATGGATTTAAACGATCATGTATTCTTCTATTTCAGAGCTCGACTCATTTGGTCAACCCAATCAAAATAAGATGGCACGAGAATTATAGGCTCCATGAACAGGTACCAAGTTAGGAATTTCGTTACACAAACAAGTCAGTAAACCATGGTGCCCCACCTAATCCGTTTACAGCTCTTCCCTCCTATCTAGAAGTATACGTACAGGACTTCATCAGCATGGGTTAAAACAAGTAAATGCAATGTAATATGCTGGGGCAGTTAGGCCAGACTAGTTAGTTCTTAGAAATATAAATTTAAGCGTCGGCACACCTAAAGTGATATTCTTGTTTTAGGATGAAACTCATGCTACTGATCCTAGACATTTCTGTTGGGAAGAATATCATGTCATCTAACACCTAGCGGCTTTGAGGAAATTGTCGAATGGACTTGCAGGAGGCAGCTTCATGGCCAGCCATGGATCCCTTGGCAATGCAGCTACTTGGGCATGTCCACCGTCATTTGTTATCTGCATGCAAGTGAGGAGAGAAGTTGACACTACATTTGAGAACTGGATAGATATTCAGAGTTTGAGCAATTACTGACTAATGCAAGAATGAAACAGTCCTCTATTGCAACCAAGAGAAATGGTAAACCACTAACTCTTTCTATGCAAGGACATGCTTAGCGAAACATAAAAGCCTCGTAAACATAGAACAAGACAGACCTCAAGTGCTGCAATTCCACTTTCACTAAATGCCAGGAGTGATTTATCAACTGGATGACTGTAATGGTTCTCGTAGGCAAGCCAGTTTGAAAGCCTCTTCCTTGCACACGTCCCAAGGGCTTCACACTGGCTAGCCATGGCATTGTATGTGAGAGGAGAAGTGGAGACAGCTGTTCCTGCTACTTGACCAGCTACCTCTAGTGCCTAAAAAGTAAAAACAACAGTATGGGTTATTGAGCCTATAGAGGCAAGAATGAAGAGTGACAATAAACACATTCTGTCATCTAATGCCGGTTATGTTGCTTGGAAAGTTGGCATCAAGACGAAATATGGAGATTCAGCAAGTGAACATAGCACTAGGGTTCAGTTTCCCTGCTGTGAAGAGAGAGACCTACGTAGGCAGGCCCCACCTGATCCTTTGTTTCTTTCCTTCTGAAGAGCAGACCAGAACAACGACCCAATGGGTATTGCGTATATTCAAAATTACTACACATATCTTTTACGAATAATTCCACCAACATTTTTACATTAAGGTAGAAATAGCAAAGCTTGTGAACTACAGTGTGCACTCCTCTCATCAAATTTACAAAGGCATGGGAGTAAAACTAATACCGATTCCATAAGCTGTCCAATGCTGATAAGACGAGGGGGTACAGCTGGGGATGCAGGCATCTTAGGAAAAAACCGAGACACATCAGAAACAGATGCTTCACTGATAGCATCATCTTCAACTACCGAATTTGAGAGAAAATCCTGCATAAACAAAAGGACACCAATCAATGGATTTTTCTCCTAACCATCTCCACCAAAAAAAAAAAACAAGAAGAACTGGCCATGGAGAACTCTGGCCGCTGGCTGATCCTACACCTCCGATATTCAATTTATTTTTTAAGAAACTCTGAACTCTTCAGATATTAAGAGAGCTTCAATGAGGAAAACTAGTTTCAAATGTAATTTAAAATTGTCAAGGCAATACCATGATCACAATGCAATTAGCCAAGAGAATATACCCCATCAAATGACAATGATTCCTTGGAATGCATAATCTTGTGATTCTGATCAATAATTGATTTTGGCCCAAACATAAATTCTTCATCAGGCCTGAATGCTTCTTCCAAATGTGCAGCGAGGCTATCAGCATCCAGCTTAACAGAAACAAAAGGGGAAAATTAGAGAATGAGAGTGGTAGGTAAAGCACGAGGTAAGGCCTCTGAATGAAATGAAATACCTTAGTGATGTTTGCCAGATTTTGAACCAAAATATCCTTCATGGCCTGCTTGTATTCACATATTGTGTTCTGTAACTCAGAAATTGTTGACATAGCCAGCTGATTATCAGCAGCAGTACCGTATTCTCTTGCGTCCACATGGATCTTAGTATAAACTTGAAAGTCATCACTGATGCCCAAGAACGGATCAATCTGTCTTTACGGAAAGCAATAAACTGTTAAGGAGATATTTTTATAGACATGACCAAAACAATTGGCTTTTATACCACTAAAACTCATACTAATCAACTAACAAGCATTAGATGCAACAAGAGCGGCAAAAATTCAGTCACTCACTTCAGATACTGCTAATGACTTGAACAAGTCATTCAGCTCATGAATCTGATACGATTTGCCGGCAAACATCAACATGCTTGTAGACAGTACCAATACAGACCTTTGACGAGCTGGAGGCAACATTCCTGGCAAAACATGAATTGATCATTTCCATATTTTCTTTCATGGAGTTTACTAACATCAGAAATGGAAAACTTTCTACAGGTCACACCATTGCTTGGTTCCAACGACATATTCCAGAGGGAAAGAGGAAGCTGGAAGAAGCGGACCACCAAGTTATTATCTTTATCATTCAGGTTCTGCAACATTAAATTTTAACAGATTTGAACAATCAAACAAATGTGTGCAAAAGCATGCATCAATCAAAATCAGTAATGAATACTGACTACGTGCCCCATTATTGCTGTATGTATAAGCATGCAAATCCAACAAGTAGGTAGGCCATTGGCCTATGTAAGTACAACTAACTAAACAATAGGAACCAGGCAAGATACAATGACAAAATTGTTAATGATCTCAGGCCATCATATTTACATGATTAATTCATGGCCTTGGCACAATTGTAGAAGTAAAGCATACAACCACTCAATCCATGGTACATAATCTAACCAAATGCACAAAAGGGGTAACCATGAAAAAATCATACACGAGTAATTACAGCAGGAAATAGAGCAAGTAATATGACTGTATAAGAAAATCTACCTTAGTGTGTGAAGCAGTTAGTGTTAACATGAAGGAGTGAGCTATAGCTTGAATATTTGAAGGCAAATTATCGGGAAGATTGGCTTGAACCCAAAAGGAAGAAAGCAACTGTGCAATTTGATCCTCACCAAGCTTCAAGACATTTGGTTCCTGAGCCAATTTAAGACCAAACCTTACTTTCCAAAAATCCATATTGACTAAGGTATAATGACAAATAACAAAACCTATTCATCGAAACCCATAGCAGATGCTTACTGTCTCGGTCAGACTTGTTGATGCAGTAGTCTTATCAATGGTAGAGCTCAGTCTGTAAAATTTAGGGGAATTCTTCAAGCTACAACCCTGCTTCCAGTCTTCCACATTATCCCTCTCTTTATAATCATCATGAAAAGCTTGCCCATGATTTTCTGACTTTGTGCCATCACTACCTCGGCGGAGCTTTTCAAGTAAAGCTATAACTGAAGCAGATGCAGATGCAGTGGAAGTATGGGCATGCCGTATTTTATGCTGGTCTGAACATTCATGAGGATGGTAAGAGTTTGGAAAAACAAGTATAGAAAATATTTGGTGTGCTCCAACACGTGCCTCAACATCTGAATGCAGCATCACTGTCAAGAGTTGCACAAGAAGGACTTCAGGGAATGCCTACATGAAATCACCATAAATGATCAATGGATGTATTCCAAGATAACACCAGTTAGCTTCAAAATTTAATGCAAAAGGAATTTTCTTCCAATTGACGAGTATGGTTCAGCCTGCTTCTTCAAAACCAAAACAAGTAGCAAAAGGTTTAATCTGGTCAGAGTCAATATTCCAACAGTGCCTCTATATCCATAATACATAAAATTGCTAAATATCCACATATTTAGTTATAAAGATTAATTTCAAACCCTTGCTTCAAATTGTAGTTTGCTTCCTTTATTTAAAGAAATTGATCATAAGAAGTTCATCTCACCTGATATGCATGCGAACAGACTAAAGCCAAAGCTATCATTCGAGAGAGTATTATCAATGATCTAATGGTTGCCCTGGCAGTGATACCAGGTGGCAAATTTTCCAGGGTTATTGCCATCAAGTCAAAGAGCGGCCGAACATCAACAATCTTGTCATCCCAGAAAAGAAAGTATTTTAGTAGCAGAAGTCATTGACCCTATCCGCTGTAAAAACTAAATTTGAGGATAAAAGAAATGGAAGCAGAACTGTTCACTTTAAACCCACCGCTTTGGCAATTTCTAGCAAGCACTCCTCAATAGAATTCTGAAGCATGATATTCAAGTTTAGCTCTTGCTCACCAACTGATTCACTGGAGGCTTGAAGGCTTTTCCTAAGATGCCGGCAAAGATCACCAACAAAACCAACCTCCACCAACCCTCTACCTGACCTAATTTGCATAGCTAAACCCCTAGCAACTTGAATGACACTAGTTTTAAGTCGGGGATCATGCATAACATTTTTGTGGTCCAGATGACGAATCACAGAAGCCAGAATTAACAGCTGATTGTCTAGGGGATAACAACAAAAAAGAGGGTAACATTAGGAGAATATTACGACAAATCCACCATAATTTATTTCACACTAGTATTTTGGTCAGGAGTGATTGACAGACTAATACCTGAATTATCAGTGAAATGTGCCATGGTAGATAGAACCATCATTGCTAACCCATGCTGAGGATCCCAATGATGTCCAGAGTCAAAGTAGACAAACATTGGATCAAGTACACAGCGCATGGTTGTGCTTTCCTTTGCCAATTCAACCATTCTTTGAATGCATATTTGAGCCCAAGTTTCAGGGTTCTCAATTTCTTCTCTACAACATACAAGCATTACATAAAAGAAAGAGTAATAACAAACTGTCAAAACATTATCAGAAAAAATAAACTGTGTAACTGGAGTGGCAGGACTCAAAATTTATTGTGCGTGCGTGCGTGTGTGTGTGTGTAACTCATTTTAAGATCTTGAACAACCACTAGCTACCTATTCAAATGGGAAGGATCCTTGATTTCAGGTTGGGACAGGGAAAACAAGCAACTAGGGCGATTCTCATTACTAATGACTGCACCACCCCGCCCTTCACATCGGACAACCTCATCCACCCAATTATGATGAGGTTCTGCCCTGATGTCAGCGCCTTCACTGTGCCTGGCTCTCCCATAATTATCTAATGTGGCACGGACAATCTGCATTTGAATGAACCAACATAACAAGGATATCACATAAAATACAAGCAGGAATTCAACACATAAAATCATATAGAGCATCTGATCAACAAAAAAAGTAATGATTCTATAGGAGCTTTATGATTTCAATGGCAGCTTACCACATTTTCCACAGAAGTACACATTTACATGATGATCTATGTTAAATGTTGGAAGACAAAGAGGAAAAAAAATGTAACCAAAAACAAAAAAGAGGACAAAAAAGCATTCAAGATATGCCTCAAGCAATATGACCAGAAAGTGTACTTAACGGGCTATAATGGTTTCATGGTTGAGAAACTGAATAACTCACCTCATCAAAGTCATCAAAGATGTGCGAAAATTCAGCCATAAACCATATCTGCCAGGAACAAAGGCAGGAAAATAAAATTTGCTCTTACCAGAAGATAAAAAGGAAAAAAAATCAACACAACAATGAAACCATGGATATTAGAGAGCAATAAAGCGTTCATAAGCTAAACTTTTGTCTACTTGAAATGCAAAGGAAATCAAATAAAGCATTAATCACCATAGCTGAAAGGCATTGCAGGCTTGCTGCCCTCAAACAGCACTTAGCATGTGATTCACCATGCTCCTGTGAAAGGATGCATACTTTCCTAACCAATTTCTCAATGTTATGAGTATATGTGGCATCTACCTGCACAATTATCAAGTTAATAGATGAACAGAATAACAGTGCATCACAGAAACGATACCAACTACTTATTATGGTTGAAGAAAGTGGTAAGACACAGAGATCAATTAATCATTAACAAATGCTTAATCTACCCCTCTCCTTTCCCAAGAGGGCGAAGAAAAATGAAGTATCAGCTGCTAGTTGACTTACCCTGCAGCGTTATCAATATTGTAGATGTGTTTTTACTCACTTTAGATTACTCTAGCACTAAATTGCTCTTTCCCTATCCATATTACAGATATAAAGTGGCATGACACACAGATCAGTTTATCATTATTAAATAAATGCTTGATCAACCCCTCTCCTTTCTTCACAAGAGGATAAAGAAAAATGAAGGATCAGCTACTGGTTGATTTGAACTGCAGGGTTATGAATATCGTGGATATGCTTTTACTCTCTTTAGATTACTCTATTACTAAAATGCCCTTTTCCTTGTCCATATTATTACTGTAGATAATTCTGAGTAAAAAACTGATTTCAAGAAACTACAACCATGCACAACTTGCATGAGTGGGAAGCCCAAAGGTCAAGGCTTCTGATTGTGTTACTTGCCTGACTATAGATAAATGTCGTTAAGATTTGGCATCCAAGTGTCCGAATCTCATCATGCTTAGAAGAGCCCAAGAGCTCAGAAATCACGTTTAGAACATTGACAGCAAAGTAAGCTCTGCAATGTACAGAAGGCATAAATGAAATACAAGAAGAACCACAAAGAAAGTTACAAACTATTCTCATATGATGAGACAATACATGTTAAACAGACAATATAGCAGAATCCTTTATATAAAATGGAAATGCTCCATCAGAATGTGGAAATATAAGCTCATTAATCCCGAGAAACTTACATCTGCACCTTACACATGGAAAGCAATTTGTTGAAAGCTTCTGTCACAATATTGACAAGTTTAACGTGCCCAGATCGGAGCTCTTTGTAGCATCTTTCTTCAAGATATTTTGCAATCTAGCAGAATATGATGACATGACGAACTTCAGCAATTGATTCAGCTCATTCAAGTATGTCCCTTTTTTTGTTTTTTTAATCCTCTTGATTTTTACACATACAAGATGTCAAACTGAATTAATAGTATCAATACCTTAGGGATTCGGACTGGGTTTCTTGATGCATATTCACATAATTTGACAATCTTCCTGTCACTTGGATGCCCATCCTGAACAGTATATAATTAAGTCAATGGTACCAGAGGCTCTTGCTCATACAAAGCGATGGGAGCAGGTTGCAAAAACATGCCTTTTTTTTAATCAAATATTAAGTGCAATTAATAACCGCGTTCTTTGCCTTGGAAAACCCCCAAAGTTAGCTGCTCATAAGTGGTTCTAGTTATGGATTAATTGAAGATAAATGTCCACCATTGGTTAGAAATTCCTAACTAAAGTTTCAAAAAACAGAGGTAATAAACAAATTCAAGGTTTCATTTTAGAGAAGGGAGCATCCTGCCCTAGTAATGAGAATATATTGCATTCACCGGTTGAATATGTATAGTAAGAAGCATAGAGTTACTGGCCAGCCAAAATTAATTTCAAGAGTGGGTTATCAAGTGGCAAGCCGATAGAAACTCAAAGGGATTGCAGGATCAATTTAAAAAAAAAAAAAACAGTAATACGTACTGGGGATTTCGGGAACATATCAGCCAATAGTTTTCTGTAGCGCTTGACAGGTTGGCGTGATCTCGACCTCAACGCAGGACAGCAGACACACATGTTTCCGCATGCCGGAAAAATCTTCTGGGAAATGAAACCCATTTCCTACACATTCTCAAAAGAAATTAGAAGACAGATAGACAATAGGAACCGGAAAAGGATTTTGACGGTTTAGTAGAACAAGTAACGACAGAAGGACACAGAAAATCTCGAATCAGGGAAGCAAAACGATAAAAGGCAAGACAACGCTAGAGCAAAATGCAAACCATCTGGAGTTCAAAGTTCAGACCCAGTAGCAGCGGAAACGAAAAATGGGAGATGCGGAGACAACCAACTACTAGAGGAGTAAAGCAATATACAACTAGAAAAGTAGAAAAGAAACAAGTAAAGTATCACACATTGTGCCGAGATTATTCAAGATAACAACGAGAACCGCGAGATGACAGCGAAAAATAATGCTTCTACTACTCATCAGGGACTCCCTAGGACGCCTGTAGACGATTCAACGATTCTGACAACTCATGAAAAACAAAAACAAAAACAAAGAAAGAACGCGAAAATAACCGGGAAAATATACCTAGCCCCGGGGAAGCGGATCTGGAAAGAGAGACCTGTGAATCGTCCCCAGAGTGTGCTCGGCAAAAGAGCAAGCAAATGGGGATAATGAACTGTGTGTGAGGGAGCCAGCGACTGCAGAGAGCAGAAGAGCCAACGGGCAACCAAACTCGAAAAAGAAGGCGTGAGTGTGACTATGGAGTAGGATTGGAGACTACGAGCTAGATCACGTGATCGGTGTCAGTGTCTTTTCTTTTCTACTATGCTCATTGACTAAAAAAGTAGAGTAGGGGTCTCCACCAATGGGTGCTTGCAGGGAGGAGTAGGCGAAAGGAGAGGCATATTTTCAAATTCACGAACTGATTCGTAGGTGGCGTTCGAAGCTCTTTGTCACCGGAACCGGGAAGGGGCTATTATGATTGGGTTGGGAAACAAGCCAAGAGCAGGCATAAATAGACGCAGATCTGGGTGTGGGTTATTTTCAAGATGTCTTGTGCACACGCTTTTGGGGAGCTGATGTTGAAACTTTGTCTTCTTCTGTCTCTCTCTACAAGAGAGGGCAGAGCCAGACAGTGAATTAAATTAAAAGAAAGGGGACGAGAGTTTCAAATACTCTTCGTCCGCAAGGCCCCTTAAATTAGGAGGGACCACATCTGATATGGAAGACTGTTGAAGGCCCTGCTTTGCCAACGTATTAGCCAGAGTTTGCCTCTCTAGGAACATGAACAATCATACTTGAGCAAAGACAGAATCTGCAGGTGAAGCAAACTAGCAGTGCTGTATGAAGAAGTAGAGTTGAGATTGTCCACGGCCTCTTTTGCATCAGACTCAATAATAATACGGGTGTATCTCATGTCCCAAGCTAAACATAGCCCTTCGAAGATAGCCCATATTTTAGCAAAATGAGCATCACAATCCCCAATATAATGAGTGAATCCCGCTGTCCACCTACCATTGTGGTCTCGGATAACACCACCACACGCTGCTCAGCCATCAATATTAAACATTGCTCCATCTACATTAACTTTCACCCAACCATAAGGTGGTTGCATGCAATGCCTCTGTTGCAGCTTGTCATCATCTATATGTCCAGGAGATGTGAAGGATCTCCATTCATAAGCTATAACAATATGTGGGTGTGGGGCTTTATAAAATTTGGTTGGAAGATATGGTAATTCCTCCATTTCCAGAGTTTCCAAATTGAAACACCCCGTATCAAGCTCCAGTGATCATTAATACCAATACCAAAAATCTTTTTCAGATTTAATTCAATCCAATCAATTAAAGAAGTGGAATAGAACTGAGCATTGTACCTGGGATTAAGCATATAATAAATAGTTTCCTTGCATAGATACAATCTCTCAATATGTGAAGAACATCTTCAGCAACACTATTGTTACACCAGTTGCATATAGCTGATTGAGAACTCCACAGACTTCTCCACTGGTTTGCAGGGAGTTTATTTTGATACGCAAGCCACGTGAAGACTTTGATTCTTTCAGGACCTATCTATTTCCAAATGACTTTGAAAAATGGGTTGTATAGATTTTCAAGACATTTCTCAATAAGAAAGTAAGCACTTATTAGCCTTCCAAGTCATGACATCATGTCCCACATTCTGACGTGAAGGCATCACAGAAATCAATTTTTGAATAATATTAGTGGATAGCAGTGAGGAAAAACGAATGAAATCCCGCATGCCGCATTCCGTCCAATCAGCTACAGCGCGTCTCTCTTCTTTAGGAGATAAGGTTATAAGGTAGACATGCTTTAGCACCCCCTCCTCAAGTAACCATTTATCATTGAAGAAACTAACATGCTGTCCGTTTCTGATTTGCCATTCAGTACCTTCCTCTATAACATCTTGTTGCTGGCATATGAATCTCCATAACTTAGAATCTCCTTTCTTAACATCAAGGAGGTTAACTTCATTCCGTAGCATGTATTTCTTGTTCAAAACTTCAGCCCTAAGGCTATTTGTGCCACTAACCAAGTTCCAGGCAAGTTTTACTCCACAAGATCAATTAAAGGAGGCAAGTCTTCTGAATCCCAATCCATCATAATCTTTTAGGAGACTAATTTTCTCCTAACTCAAAGGGTGAAAAGCTTTGCCATTAGGGTTCCCACTCCAAATGAAATTCCTTTATAATCTCTCTACTTCATTGCAAATGCGCACAGGGATTTTTGCCACTTGCATAGGGTATATGGGAATGGTACTAAGTCCTAATTTTGCTAATGCAATTCTTTCAACTGTAGAAAGGGAGTTAGCTTTCCAAGTGAAAAGTTTAGATTTAACCCTATCAACAATGCAATAGAATCTTTTTGTATTTTTCTTATTCGTAGCCAAAGGAAAACCCAGATATCTTCCTATATCACTGATGATCTTCATTTCAGCAATGCCTTTAATTTTAGCCATCAATCCAGCACCTACATTTGGGGAGAAGGAGATAAAGGATTAGTTGATGCTAACATGCTCTCTCGATGTTGAACAGAATTCTTCCACACACTACATGATTCTAGCTTGATCTTTCAAAGCCTCTCCAAACAACAACAGGTCATCTACGAACATAAGGTGAGATATGGAAGGTCCGGCACTGGTTATAAAAATTGGCCTCTAATCTCCTCTGCTCACAACATCAGAAATAATATGAGATAATCTATTTATGCACAAAATGAACAAATAAGGTGAGATAGAGTCTCCTTGTCGGAGACCTTTCTGAGGCATGAAATAATCAAATTGCATTCCATTCTATAAAACATTATAAGAAACAAAGGAAACACATCGCATCACTAGTTGGACAAAATCTAACTCCATGCCTGCATCAAGGAGAACTTGTTAGAGAAAGTCCCATCTAACTGGATCTTAGGCTTTTTCAAGATCAATCTTGATAGCTATAAAACCTTTTCTTTGTTTCATCTTCTTTATTATGTGCATAATCTCTTACAACACATTTTTAAGTCTCCCATCAGTCTTTTCAATCTACTCGTCAGGATTTTTAAGACACATTTAGAATGGACCAGGCATAATGAGATAGGCCAAAGGTGATTAACCAATTTCGGGTTATCTCTCTTGGGTATCAGGGAAATCAAGTTTCTACTTGCCTCCTGCACTAAAGTCTACCTAAAAAAAAATCTCCTTCACAGAGTAGCATACAATAAATCCTACCATATTCCAATTGGCTTGAAAGAATACAGGTGCAAATCCATCATAGCTAGGGCCTTTACAAGGCCACATAGAAAATATTGCCTTTTTAATTTCTTTACTAAATGGTATAAAAGCTAATGCTCCCATTCACCCCATATCCAAAATAGGAAAATTTGTCTCTATACACAAGTTCTTGCAACCATCTTGATCCTCTTGAAACAAATTTTTGAAGTAATTAACAACCGATAACTTCAATTCATCTTTGTCTTCAATCCACCTTTCCTTATCATCCTTTAATGTTACTACTTGATTCTTTCTTCTTCTCACAATGGTTTTGAGATCGTGATAGTGGGTATTTCTATCTCCGCTATGGATCCATTCCATTCTTGCTTTCTAAAACCTCTTTGTTCTTCAAGTTTGACGACCTCTTCCAACTCATTCTATAAAGATTTTTCCAGATTCAACAGAAAAACTGAGTAGGGATAAGCATTAGACTTTGAATACCTTTTAAATGAGCTATTAACTCATTCTTCTTTTTCTCAACATAACCGAACACCTCCTTATTCCAAATCAAGACTGATCTTTGCAAATCTATAAGGTTTGAATCCAAATCAACATCCCAATACCAACTATCTTTAAAAAAATCACTAAAATTTTCATGCAGCAGCCATATTGCTTTAAAGTTAAAAGGTTTCCTACCTAATCCTAAATTTTAACGTCATGAATTTTAACCAACACAGGATTATGGTTAGAAAATTTGGTCCTAGCAAGTACCTGCACTACACAATCTAAAAATTTATTTAGAAAACTATTGTTGGCCAAGGCTAAAAACTCTATCCAATCTTTCATATAGTCGAGAGAAACCTCGAACACACGGCCTGAAACATCTCACTCCACCAAACACAATTAAAAAGTATAGCTCTTAGTGATCAGAGACTTCACTCAAAAGGATGATTACCAAGGTTTAATTTAAAAGCAAAGGATCCCAAGTTTTTTAAATAACAATGAGTTTAAATCAATCCAAACCCTTTATATCAAAGTAAAATAAGTTTTGAAAGCATGAGATATCTTAGAGGAGTGAAATAAGTCAAAAACAGTTGAAAAATAAAACATGTGCTATGATGCAAGACAATGCATCATGGCTCATGCACGTTGTGCTGCGGCATATTGCATAAAAATTCAATTGATTCTGCTGTCATTTGATAGCAATTATAAACTAAATACATGCACAAGAAAATCAAGTATGTAAACATACTGGTATACATCATATCTTGTTATTTATCATTAAATAACTTCTTTAACTCACATAACTAGATGCGTTATCACTATATTCTCAGATATGTGACATGACCCATACTTATGCGACTTGCCACCACTTAACACGTATGACACGTCATATATTTACTTAGGCAATGATCAACAATCTTATATCCTCCTTATTTTTTTAGATTAAAACCGTAGGTTATAACACTAATTAGGCTCCGTCCGTATGACTGAACTATCCAAACTCACCAATCGTGAGGTGTGACTTGGCCAAAGATTACATGACTCACTCTCAAACCACAAATTTCCTTATTCTTGAATCCCCAGGTTATCTCATACCCTAGGCTATTCTTCTCATTGAACCAGTGGAGACAGCTAGATTCTAGTCCCTCAACAAATTGTAGGATAAAGCTATACTCCCGTACATCGAAGGGCAGCTTAAATACCATATGAATTTTCTTTACTCTCAATCCCTAGGCAAACTCCCACCACTAATAATGCCATAATCAATACTCACTTATTTTCACATTTTCATTTTTATTTACTGATTGATATAATGATCATGGTGGGCTCACAACCATACGCTACTCAAGTATGTGTTCTCATCATTTGCTCAACATTATTCTCATTTATCTCAAATTTTTTTGGGAAAATGACAATAAAGTCCCAAAAGATTAATTTTATACGAGTTAAGTCCCAACTAATTCTAAAAGGCCAATAAAGTCCCAGAGTCCTTAAATGATATTTTGATGTCACAGGAAAAGACCGAAACACCCTTCTTCAGGTAAAAGCTCGTTTTCTTCTCTGCCTGAACAAGTCTCAGTGTGCGACGCGAAGCTATGTTCTCTGGGTCTACGTTCTTTGATCCATACGGTGAACGAGGGCTTGGTTGGGCCAGGGGAGATTGATGTTTTTGGGGGCAGCACGCATAGCCGGCAACTAAGAGTTGAACACTTGAAGGAGAAGACGGAAACGTTGGCGACGGTGACAGAAGTGAGAATCCAAATTTTAAAGGATAAAGCTCCAGTAATTTGCAAGTGAGAAACTAAATTTTGCAATGCCCTTAGAAACAATTTGCAACTGGTACTCCAAATTTTGAATCGAAGAACTATTAAATTCGTTAAAGAGATAAATCCTTTAGGACAAAGCTCCAGTAATT